ACTCACTTTCTTTTGCCCAGAGGTGGGCAGTTCAGGCGAGCTGGCGGGCTGGCACTCACTTTCTTTTGCCCAGAGGTGGGCAGCTCAGGCAGGCTGCTGCCTCTGGGCAAAAGAAAGAAAGTGCCAGCCCGCCAGCTCGCCTGAACTGCCCACCTCTGGGCAAAAGAAAGTGCCAGCCCACCAGCAGAGGCAGGCAAAAGACCCACTTCTGCTGGCGGGCTGCCACGGACACAGAGAAAGAAAGCTGGCGGGCTGCCCTCCCTGCCTCTCTGACTCCTACCCCCTTCCCTCTCTTCACTCTCAAAAAAACTCTCTCTCAACTTGATCACTCTCTCTCACCAAACATCATTCTTGAAATCTAATCTGCATGCTATAGTCTGGGTGCCTACACCACTGAAGCCAGATCTGACTCTTATTAGCTCATTTGAAGTTAATCTTTCAGCAAAAAACATTTGCTAAAACTTCTTATAAGTAAGATAAATATGGAAAGTAATTGTAGTTTTCTTTTCTTATTATGGTAAACAACAAACACTGAACTGTATAAGTATGTCAAGAATTTTTTGATATTCAGTTGCTTCAAATGTCACTACATCTGTCAAAACCCCACCTCATTAAAATGTTACTAAAGCAGTATACAGCTATAGAAATTGTCCTTTCCCAAATCTGACAGTTCATGAGTTCCAAAAAGTATGGGAAAACTTAGAATACCAATTAATAAAACTCCCATATTGTTATTGCATAAACAATGAGGAGGCAAAATACAGTAAAGCTCTAGTGAGGAAATATTTGAATATTTTACCAGATGTCCCTCCTTGCATTGATATCCCATTTGAAACTTCCAAACAAAGAAATAAATAAAGTCTTACTGATCCGAAAAGGCCGAAGCTGTGAGTATTAGCAGAGTCAGAGCCCTGAGAAAGGTGGCTGCTCCCATAGCTTGAATGATAAATGGCAGAAGTTAGATCCACACTCCAAAATCCAAGACTGCTCACAGCTTTAAATGTCCTCTATCGACCTCAGAACAGTTCAGCTATGATAAACATGGACTTAGTCATGCTTGGATCAATGACATTCATATTTACTTTCCTTCATCTCTGAGTCAACATCAGGTGTCCCTGATGTCCTTCTCCTGAAAAACAGTATTCAGGAAAATAAAACTCACACTATGGATCTTTGGAAGAAACTGGGCAAGAATCCATCTGCAATACAGCTAAAGAGACACTGTCTCAATAGGCTGAAGGCTTTTCTGTGACAAAAGCACATGAAGGGGGGAAAAGCCACATGTACCCATTGGTACACTTTGCTTATAGTGATCAGAGTGCTATTGAATAACTGCAGAAAATCTGGGAAGATTGTGTTGAAGAGATATGGTTGGGGTATTTTTGTGATGTTTCTATCACGCTTCCAGAGAATTGCCCATGCTTCCCTTTGGGAAAGATCTGGGACAAAATTAGGTTGCAGGAATACTCTTAACGAATACTCTTAGAAATGCAGGCAGCACCCTCCATCTAAGCCCTACTCCCCTCTATTAACCATGTAGACCAGTTAAAGATAAGAAAAAATACTAATGTCAAAACACAATAATTTAGATTCAGATCCAAAAGTATTCTATTTTTGTATTTGACTGATTTTATTTTCTTCAAATAAGTCTGCTGAGTTAGATTTTTGAAGTGTATTTCCTGCATGATGACAGAATAACAGAGCAATAGCAATAGCAATAGCAGTTAGACTTATACACCGCTTCATATGGCTTTCAGCCCTCTCTAAGCAGTTTACAGAGTCAGCATATCGCCCCCCACAGTCTGGGATCCTCATTTCACCCACCTCGGAAGGATGGAAGGCTGAGTCAACCTTGAGCCGGTGAGATTCGAACCGCTGAACTGCAGGTAACAGTCAGCTGAAGTGGCCTGCAGTACTGCACCCTAACCACTGCATCACCTCGGTTGGAAGGGACCTTAGATGTCATAATCTATCTGGTGGAATTGCTGTCTATCGCACATTTCAATCTTACAAAATATGCTGTGGGGTTTTTTTGAAGTCTAAGTAAGCTATGCTCATAGTATTTCTCTATCCACTATTTTAGTCATTTTGTTAAAGAAGGCAATAAGATTTCTTTGGAATTACCTATTTTTGAAAAGCCCCTGTGGGTTTCTAATAACAGTTTTGCTTCTTTCTAATGTTGTTTGCTCATCTTTTCTAGGATCTTCCACATCAAGCTGATTGATCTGTAGTTTCCTGGATCCATTTTTTTCCTTTTTGAAGATTGGAATGACATCAGCTTTTTTCTAGTGTTCTGGTAGTTCCCCAGTGCTCCAGTACCTTTGAAAGATGTGCTACAGTTGGTCTGAGATGTCTGCCAGTTCCTTCAGAACTCTAGGATGTAATCCATCTGATTCTGATGTTTTGAACTTGTCTAGAGTGTATAGATGTTGTCTTACCATTTTCTTGCCTATTTTGAATTCTATTCCTATTCTCTGTTCTGCATACTGCTTTTGGTAGATACAACTATTTTTTCCTTTTACATAAAGACAGGTGCAAAGAATGAATGAAGCAGTTCCACTTTTTCCTTGCTACCCATCACCTCCTTTAAGTGAGTTAACCATTCAAAAGTTCTCCCTTCTCTCACCAGATGCTTACCTTTCACTGGGAGTACAGATGAAAACATCCCTTAGGTTCCCATCTCTTTGGCTTTCATGCCTAGCTTGTTCAAGCTGTGATGCTGAAAAACGCTCATGTGTGTTCCTTGGATAGCAGAGGTGGCAAATATGCAAGTATTGGAATGTATAAAACTAGACAGATCACTGAAGGGAAAAATCACAAAATTTTGCTTTATATATTTCAGCCATCATGTGATCTAAATCACTGGAAAAAGCAGTTATGCTTAGAATGTTTAGTGGTAAAAAGAAACAATGCTGCCAAAAACATGAATAAACTAGACATATTCCAAGCTGACATCCAAAGCCAGATTATAAAACAACTGAAGGAAACAGTACAAGACTAGAAAATGTAAAGAGAGCTGGTCTATAGAATTGCTGAGAATGAGACATGATTACATTATTATCAATAACATATCAGAACACACCCTTGATACTATATTTATATTATTGTTACTAATTCAGTACAAAATAAGGAGTATGAATGAAGTCTAGTCTTACATGGCAAACAGGCTTTACTCATTCAATTATTTAGTCATTATTCAATTGTTTACCCTACATCAGCAACAGGTTGGATAGTTAATCTAAATGACGATGACAGGTTTGAGAAAAGAAGTTGTTATGCTTGGTGTTTGATGAGTGTAGATAGAATCTTTTTCTCTCTTGGGCTGGATAGGTCACAAATATGGAGGCTGTTACTGCTATTGTCCTGGGTCCTGGACTGCTGATCAGTGATGGGTTCTGGCAGGTACGCCCCGTTATGGGCATACCGGTGCCTGCTGGGAGCAGCAGGCACTGTACCAGAATGGTGCTGTGGAGGGCCCACTTGCCCGCCTGCATTCCTTACCTGTATTTGAGCCAGCTGAGCCATTTGTGCATGCGTATGCAGTGTACTATGCCTGCGTGACACTCCACCAAGCAGCTGGAATGTCGCAGAGTGGTGGGTGTGCATGCAAGTGCAATGCACGTGCACATGGTGGACACCCGGCCCGGTCACAGAGAAGCAGTTGCAACGGGATCGGGAACTCACCACTGCTGCTGATCATTTTCCTTTGCTGGTCTATGAATACTAGAGCTTAAAGTTAAAGTAAGAGAAATCTTCGTTTTGAAAACATGAAATGAAACATTTTTTTATCCTCTGCATAAACCTTGACCTTTATTTTATTAGCCAGAGCGGCTGTTCAGCATCATCTACAAAAACGTTTTTGACTTTGATTCAGTCATTCCATTCATTCCTTGATTCACACACTAAAGATCTCTGTCTACAACTTATTACAGTATCACGATTAGCAATAGAGTGCATAATATGCTTCTTCTCCTAGGCCACCTAATTCATAAACATTTTTCCATCCATCTGGATGAAGTTCCAATACTGAGTGAATTCAAAGATACGGAGTAATTGCTCCACAAACTTTGCTTTTTGTTACAATTTCATTACCTTCATGTCTCCCTTCCTGATGTTTAAATTAGGCTTCTTGTTATATTAGTTATATTGTTATATAAAGGGTATGTGCATTCCCAGAAGCACAGAACAGACCTAAAATGAACTTTATATTTGGTGAGAAGGCTAAATAAACATGGAAGGACAATGCTCTGTATGTCAGTGACTAGTTATGCCTTTCTAGATCAAGGTTTTCATCAGAATAAGGTATAGCTACTTTTAGATTTGCTTCAACAGCTAAGAAAATTGGTAGTAATTGCCCCTAGAACAGTAACAAGAAATGTGGTGGCTGCCTAATGGGGGAAAAGTTGGACATGTGGTCCAAAAATCAGCTTCATATCTCAGAGCAGCTAAACACTTTCCCAATTTGAATTCCCCCTGCAGAGCTGAAAACAGATACCCACTTGGTTTATTGCATGATTCAAAGTAGTTATCGTTTCTGGGTAGTAAGAGCTGAGTTTTGAACTTGAAAATTGCAAGACAACCTTTTTATTGAAAGACCACCAGTGTGCTTATCTTAGATTTTAATAAGAGATAGAACAGTCACCTGTATGAAATGGTATAGGGTCTCCTGCTTGAATAGGGAGTTATTTTAGAAGACCTCTGGAACAGAGGCCATTCCATTCCTGGGGCTACTATGAATGTGAGGGTCTCACTCTGACCCCCCAGCTTTATTTGTAATGGTTCTGTGACAAAAACGGCTGGCTCCCTACTCCCCCGTTACAGTCCTATTTAGCTGGCAGAAAGCAATGGGGGTTTTCATTTTCCTCAGGTGAATCCTCAATCTCCCTATCAATTTTGGGCTAATTACGCATTGGGTACACCCTGAGCCCAGTAACGCTGCTACTTCCTCCCCTTTCCCTCGGCTGGGGATAAAAAGTCTTAGAGGTAGGTTATCAGCCTCTACTTTGCCTGCTTGCTATCAGCTGCCATAAAAACTGGGAGGGTGGGGGCTGACAGTATTTGGGAGGGAATAGGTGCTGGAGGAGATATCGCGTAGGGAGGTTTGTTCTCACCATCTTCTGCGCATGCTGATGGCTCGTGTTTGGGTTTGGTCAAGGTCAACTGTCTCTGCATACCAACTGTTTGAGGCCCTCCGAAGATGCACCACACATGACAGACACCTTTGGGAGCTGGAGATTGGACATTGGGTTGGGATAACAGGGGGTAGGGTTTTGGGCAAACATTTGATATGTACAAGTTTGCGCTTTTTTGCTTCAGATCTTGCTTCACTTTCGCTGTTTTCATTTCATGCCCAGTAAAAATACCTTTCTCTAATCAAATGGAGTTGGGGTTATTCTTTCTTGGATTTTGAATGAGGCACGCTGACATTAAGCAAGATCTCACTTTGCAACCATCCCAGAGTTAAAAGCTTCCATGGAGGTTGCAGCAACATGTCTAACCTTTGCAGCAACCAGGAGGACATGGGGGCTGCTGGATCCGCTCCTCCCTTGCAAATTGAATGGATGGCTGAACTGAATCTTAAGGAAAAGTTGGTCCGACCCAGATGATCACTGGGAGAGGGACAGATGAATGATCCTGAGGAGATGCTGGCAGGAGTTACAACCAGCTGGCAACCAGAGGCTGCCTGGCAGGAAGCTGAAAAAGAGGATCTTATGATGTCCCATGCTTTACAACTTCTACAAGAGGCTTGGGGTAATCGAAGAATGCGAGAAAGTCACACCAAGAGGAAAGTTGGAAGAGCCGAGCAGGTGGAGGGGGAAGCAGACGCCCTGGCAAACCCCAAATTGGCCCTGGGAGCTAACCATCAACCTGGCAACTGCCCCTTCTAGGGCTAGGGTGACAACTCACACTCGTGCCCCCTGGGTTGGGAAACTCCATCTGTACTCTTGCATGTAGGTCCTCCGGTCCTATTAAGATTTGATCTAATTCTGTTGGTTTTTTATAAAAACATATGTTTTAACATCTTT